GACTGAATTAGTTGTCTTCAATACCGTTCATCGGCGATCCATGCCCGATAAATAATACCGGCATTAAAACGTCCTGTGTCTCCAGCTTATCGGTAAAGCTGCGGAAAGCGGATAGTGTGGTCATACCTGCTGCTGCGGTTAATATGGTTTTGATAAATGTTTTGCGTTGCATGTGCTTACGTAAACGTACCGGGTGACAAATATCTGTGAATACAACTTAGTAAGCGACGGTAAACCGCTGGCGTATATGTTTCGGCGTTTCCAGCTCATCGATAATAGCTACAGCCAGGTCTTCCACACTCAATACGCTTCTTCCCTGCTCATCAAATACAGGTTGTTCCAGTCCGGTGCGGTAAGTGCCTTTACGAACGCCGGAGGTATCGGGGCCCATTTCTATAGCAGGGCTTACAAAGGTCCATTCCAGCTCCTCCTCTTTACGCAGCTCATTCAGGTAATCACGCGCTGCGGTAGCGCCTGGCTTATAAGCCTCCGGAAACTGGGGCGTATCTACCAGTTGCAGCTCAGGTGTTATATACAGGCTACCGGCACCACCTACTACGATAAAGGATTTTACGCCTGATTGTTTCACCGCTGCTTCAATAGCCCGGGAGCCCTTCAGGAAATCGTTGTAGAGATCGGGATTGGTCCAGCCGCCGTTATAGGCGCTGATCACCGCATCGTGGCCAGCTACCAGGCCGGCGATCTCCGCTTCATTAAAAGCATCGCCTTTTTTTACGGTCAGGTTAGGATGTACGGTTTCAATTTTTTCGGGATTGCGTACAATGGCCGTTACCTGGTGACCTCTGTCCAATGCTTCTTTGAGAATGGCCGTACCTACAAAACCGGATGCGCCGATGATCGCTGTTTTTTTCATGTTTTATGTTTGTTTTTAAATCTGTATTATTTTTTGTTACAGTTTTGATTAAAAAAAATTTCAGAACCTGGCGCAAAAATCGGCCAGTGTTGTTTTCGACAGTTTATGGAGCATGGTTTGTTCTGCTACTTCAAAAAGCTCGTCTATATGTTTATTGATCTGCCTGCCGATCGGGCAGTTATCGTTGGGGTCATTGGTACGGCCGAGCAACCTGCTTTGCTGGGTTGATGTAA